GATTTGTTGCATCACTAGTGACATCCTTACTTTGGACAAGGATATTCCCTTTTTCTGCCAATAACGTGCACCCAGCGACCACACAGGTGCTGCTGTTATTCCCAACCAACATGCACTTGCAATAAAGTTAATATAATTTTAAATCATTCAAACAAGTTTTTTATACATGCACATACAGCAAAAATAATCAGCATGCCATAACCCCTTCATACAGCCAAATAAAAGTTGGGGTTTTATGTGTAATAGGTTTTAAAAAACTTTCACTATTTACAAAGAGGGGGTATCTTTGAGAATTCAATTATTGTTGAATATTTGAATATTCATATTGACTGAATGCACAATTAGAACATAAATATCCTAAAGCTGTTGTTCTCCTCCAGAATTCATGCTTGAAATTCACAGCAAGCATTAGGTTGTGTAGAGAAGTGTTTCTACTACTATTGAATACTGCAGTTCAGATAATAATATACATATATATACACATAGGATACAATAGAACAGGAGATTTTAAGTTTGCAGAGTGCTGATCATGAAGTTAAATCATCAATCACAAACATCCCCATAGTAGAATTTGCTACTTAGCAAAATAATAAACAGCTGAGTTGTTCAGTGCACGGGAAGCCGGTCCTAGAAAGCACCAATGAGTCTTTAGGTGATGATGACTCAAAACTTGTAAGGATAGCATTTGAAAGAATAAGAAGTGGTTCTGCTGCAGGAAACTTCCTCATTCAGAAAAGCAGAATCAAACAAAGCTGTTGTGTTTAGCTTTGCAGGCAAAGTGAAGGAAAAAAAAACCCTATAAATTGTGACTCAGGTGAGGAGACTACTTAAAGAACGACTGAAAATAACCAGCATTATGGCCCTTTTTCTTCATTACAAATCTCGTTACAGCCGCTCTGCACCTCACCCCAAGGAGATGCAGGGCCTGTGCGAGGCTTTAGTGCAGGGTTTTTAACCAGCGCTGGTTGCACATCTCCTGTAATCAACCCCATAAGCAGTTTTCCTGTGTCCTTATGGTGCTCTCCAGGCCCGGCCACTCTGCACAAGCGCAAGGCTCGTTCTACCGAGACACGAGGGAAGCTGGAAAGTCTTCAACACTCACCCTAATGCGCTCGGGTTTACTTACAAGGAAAGACATGGATCCGCCGCTGTGGGACACACGCAGCAGAAAGGGCGGGACACCTGCGGGCACAGGAGCACGTCACCCCCTCAGCGAGCACCGATCCGCCCTCAGCCCCGCGGCCCGGGAGGGGCCCAGGGGAGCGGTAACCCTGGTAAGCACCAGTCGGTACCCCCACAAAGCACCGACACCCCCGAACTCCCCCCGGGCCCGGCAGTCCCAGGACAGCCCCAGGGGAGCGATAACTCCGGCAAGAACTACCCGGAGCTCCCCCAAAGCAGCGACAACCCCGAACACCCTCAGGGCCCTCACCCGTGCGGGCCCATCCCGCGCTGCCCCCGCAGGACCCCGCTCCACCCCCCGGCC